AAATATTGTAAAGGTTCAGGATTATTATATCTTTTTACGAAATCTATATCACAAAGCTTAACCCAATCATCATTATTCATACACCAATTTCGAATATCATCCTTGCCACCAATATCACCTGAAGCATATATTCTTCATAAATAGTGACGTTGTAAAGTCATGTTATTAGCAAAAGAGCGTATAGGATTTTGCTTAAGAATTTTAGCTTCATTAGGACTAATATCTGAAGCATTAACTATTGATTTTGCATCTGCACCTTTAATTTTTTTCTCAGTATTTTTAATAGTATGAGGAATTTTATTCCTGTTAACTTTCTCAGTATCTTCCACTAAAATTAATTCAAGTGTTGCTCCAGTACTAGCAATAAGACTGCAAAGAATCTCGGAAAAATATTTGGCTGATAAGTGTCTCTGATATTCAACTTCAATATAAGTTTCCACCGCTGGAGATAAATTAAGTGCATAACAATCAGTAATTTTATCCCATGCACGCTGGCCTTTTATTATTGTTGGTAAGTCTCCAGGCCTTAATGCTGAAAGTTTAGCCCGAATGAGTTCCCGACATGGTTCTTTAAAAATATCGAATTTTTTGCTATGATAAAGGGAAACCATACGTAATGGGCAGTTACGGATTCTGAATAACATCTGAGCAAATGCTTCAACATGGACAGGAGTAGCGATATTAGTAATTCCTATAACTGCATCAAAATAATCAGATATTTCAAAGGAGATGCCAGCTTCCACAGTATTTGTATAAATTACACAGTTAAGTGCACTCCAGGTGGCATCAATATTAACAAAATCATCTTGGTATTGTTTTCCATCTATTTGGCCAAAATAAACTCGTAATAAAATGAATGAACTATCAGGTTTTTGTAACTTAGATGTTTGATTGGCTAAGGCTTGAGCTTTTTTACAGGATGTCATAACAAATGCAACATGCTTACCTTCTTGGAGCATCCTAAGACCTCTACGTATAGCTTCTGAACCTTTATCTAGATCATAAAGAAATTTAACAATCTCCCCTTTACGTGGTTGATACTTGTTATCAATAACTCGAATATTCTCACCTCGATAGGATTTTAAGAAAGCTAAAGTCGAATTATTTGCAAAAGCATCCATAGCAACAACATGAGTAGCTACATTTAACAAATCGTACATAGCATTGAAAAATTCTCAAGCATGAACTCCACTAGCTATTTGACGTATAGTGGTATTCGCTTCATCTAAAATTGCTATACAGGAATGACCTTCTTGAAAATCAAGACGAAGAATACTTTCAACTTGTACAATAATAAGATCCCACTTACATGTCTTTAGGTCGGCCACAATATTCTGATATTGCCCTACTCTGTATTCGAATTTTTCCAATTCTTTAAGTTTAGCTTCTGATTCATTGCTAAGAGTTTTGTAATATAAAACCAGATAGTACAAGGTAAATTTGCACTACTTTGAGCTAAAGATGCCAAAATTTTTCTTAATGTTTTAGTTTTCCCAGTACCTACAGTAGAACGAATAAGAGTAGTACTAGGCTCTTCACTTAAGAAGTCTGGAAAAGCATCTAGGGCATCCTCTATTTCTTTTACATTAATACTTTCTCCAGATAATTCAGGAAATTGATGTGGAGTTGATACAGCCTTGAGTAATCTTTTATATAATCTCCATTTAGGCTTCACTTTTAACTCGATTTTTTCTGATACCTTATTAAAGCTAAGGCCCTTGTGATCTGGTTTATATTGTTTTTAGCAATAACACTTAAGTACAAAATGCCTATTTTGTCAAATAAATCTATAGAGTTGATCTTTTTCATGTTTAACATCATATATAGGGCATTCTTTAGAGGCAAAGCCTCCTGTACTGCAGACCGATCGTGTTTCAAAGTTGATAAATCCTTTCTCGGTTCTTCCAATCTGAAGCCACCCATATTTTGTAATAACTAAATTGGCTCCTTTAATCAGAGCATTTTCATCAATAATAGGTTGATATTCCTCCTCTGTTGGCTTTTCATCTGAAAAAGTTCATGACCAGATTACAGGTAATTATCTTTAGGTTAAACTAAATAATCCTCTAGCTTTTTAAATCTATTCTTCATAGAAGAAATTGCTGGTCTTTTTATGCATCCTTCTTTTGCTGATCCAAGAAGCCGAAGATTAAAATGTTTTTTTGGAAAGACCAATATCTATAAACTCAGAATAAGGTTTTCCAACTAATTCCATAACTTTTTCTGTAAAACCTTTAAGTTCTCTATAATTTATGAACTGAGCCCAAGGATAAATAATATGCCAACTGCATTTATTAGCATTCGAAGAACTTGCTAATGCAAAAGAATTTAAAAAAGGTATACAATCTAATATTAAGCTTAATGCATCTGCACAAGCAACTAAAATTCAAGATATCAAATCTTCATGAGTAATTTTCTTACTATCTAGAGAAGGAAGTTCAGGATTAGATGGATCAGGCTTTTGCCTTGTATTAATATCAATAATCAAACGAAGAGGCTAGTTACTATCAATACATTCGTGAGTATCAGGTATTCTATAAACTTCGCTAGGATGATCAATCACTGTATAACCTTTTTCTGCCATCCGAATTATATATTGAGAATAGATCTCTTCGGGCTGGTATGCCTCTAAAAGTGCTGTTTCGTTTTTATCAGAAGAGCTGACATGGCCATTAGATGCGAGCCAGTATTTATAAAATGTATGTTCTTTATAACCAGCTTTATAATCAAGATCCGTTAAATCTGTAAAAAGCTTTTTAGCCTCATTATATTCAATAGATTTTTGATTTAGGCACTGTTGTTGTAACAATTCAGCAAACGTTTTTTT